ACAACAAACCTTTAAAGGAAATAATCGTTTGTTTCGCATAAAGAGAAATAACAGCCTTTTTTGTTTCTATTAAATCGAGTCCACAATTTCCTGACTAAAAAGGTAAGTACTTGTCGTACTGCAAGAAATTTTTATTTCAAAATAATTAAACGTAAAACATCTAGTACCAATTTCTAGGTACTTACTAAATATAGTTGCCTTATGCTGTGAGAGGGATTTGTGAAGTTTTCCTCGCGATACTAACGATGAAAGTCTGTAAGTAGGAAAACCACCGTATCTTATCTAATGTAGCGTAAACTCTCCATTACGAAACTCTTTATACTGTAATACTCATTATAATTATGAAGTTACTTGACCTTTATTCAGATGCCGGGGGATGTTTTAGACTTACAGTCAGCCTATCGTTATAGATAATTAATTTTTGTGTTAAGCAGTTAAGAAATAAAACAATTCGAAGTGGTCTGTATTCTGTCGAAACTGCCAGACGCGGATCGCGATTTCGATCTTTTTGGATCTCATCAGCGCGGCGCAAACAGCTCCNATATTATTTACAATTTTTTAAATTTTTTATTAATTAAAAATTTTTGGAAACATCTTAAAATATAGTCGCTCACGCCATCTGTAGGTACGCTTAGATTTTTTAAACTACGAAACGGATTGTAATTCAGTTTTTAGCAATAGATAGAGTGATTCAAGAGGAAGGTTTATATATGTATAATACATGTGTATTATAGTACAAAAAAGCCGAGAAATTGAAAGATTTTTAATGTGATGTAACAAACATATTTTTGTGCGATTACTTTAAAAACGCTGGCTAAACCTTACGAGATAGATTAAATTAATGTACTACGGAATAGTATATCTTAAAAAGATCTATAAAAAAAGTCCGCGATGGTATGTGTTCCTCTCCCAAGGATAACCCATGGAAACCATTTGTCACGCTTTCGAGAGTAACTTATAAAGAGAAGATGTTTGTACTGTCTCATAAAGCTCTCAGCTTTAAATATTGTATGTATATAAATTTATCCTGTAGTACAGCCTAATCATAATCGTAATATTATCAATCATTCCGCACTGCTCCATATCAGTATCTACATTGCATCCGTGCAAAGCTGCGGAGGGTCGCTAGTACCTTGACCTTCTAAATTACAAATAAGTATCTATCTTTAGTAGAAGAAAGAAATGAATTAGCTAAACATCCGCCGAGGGAATCGTTTGTTATATGACCAAACAACTGATCAAAAATAAAGACTATCATTCCCCAGAGCTTGCGCAAATTTCCGAATTTTGGAGGAATTTTCTATAAATAAAAGATGAAATCCGCTGCGGTTGAATACATTATAAAAATATCGGACTTTTTTCTAATAATAAGCAATTAGCGAAAGATTAATCACAGGGATTTTAAAAATTGTACTTATCAAGATATTACGAAAGAGGTATTTAAGATGCCAGGGTAATCCCGAAATAAATGTTTCCCAAGTGCTGACGCCGCAGGAAAATTTTTGTCACGACCATTGGCTGCACTCCCGTGTTTGTTGTTTACCCCAATCTCAAGTAAACCAGCCCTTAGCCTGCCGGAATACTTTTTCTTGACTTAACTACTATTTTTAATGAAGTTCTCGCTTGTCTCTTACGCTAGGTGTGAAGTTTGCAGTTATTAGCTTTTTTTTTAATGGTAAAGTGTTATACTTATCGAAATTCAATAACAGTAGACCAAATCATTTGGTGACTTTGAAATGTTGAAATATCGAAAGGTATGCGCGAGTGCGACTTTTTGAATCCTTGCATAACTTTCCATACACTTCGGTCCACTTTTGATAAATTTTGATTGACTTCGGTCCACTTTTGATAAATTTTGATTGACTTAACGCCTTTTTCGTTAAAATACCCGACTAAATTTCGCAAACTTCGGCTGGGACGGTAGCGACAAGCGATCGCTTCATTATAAACAGCTTCTGAGCCAAGATATACCGCCTCAGCAAGCTAAGCGATGGCTTGTTTAAAAGTGGGGTAAACAATATATACAGGAGTGTAGATAGTTAGCTGCACCAAAGATTTCCCTGCGGACCAGCACATAGGAGACGATATCTACATATAGTAGGATTGGTCAACACGGAGAAAATGAAAAACGAGAATTTTGCTAAATATTAAAGCGATATTTACAAGTTATCCCATTAACCCGTTGTTTCGTAAGCGAAAATAATAAAAATTACAATTTGGACCCGCATTTGTAAAAATAAAATTCCAGCAGAAATAAATTTACTTGGTATTTTAGTTGATATTACAAATTTAATTGTAACAATTAAAAAACTTATTTAAAAAAGGCAGCGGCAGCTGGTTTGCAGATGTTTCATAAGATTGGATCGGATATCCGCATCCTCAACTACGAATTATCCGCAGGAATTTTAATATCCGCATTTACAGATAGGTAGGTACCTGTTAAAAGTTAACATTTGTTTTATAATGTCTTCTGTAATAAAGTACATTAGGACCGTTCACGAAATACGTTCGCAAGTAAGAGGGAGGGAGATAAGGGTATTGCCTGGGGGTGGACTGTGGTAGTGTAGCCACCCCCCCCCGGCGGCCCGACTAATTATTTTCGTTGGATATTATGTATGTCTCCAAAAGTGATAGCCTCGTTTATATTTGAATGCCCCTCGTATAAAAATAGTATATGTATATATGAATGAAGGGCAACATTCCAATTTTTCTCCCCGCATCTCCCCGCTCCCAATTGTAAATCCTAGATCCGCCACTGGGTATTACTTAGCGTGAAGAGTTATGTCAAGGGGGAGGCTGGTTTAAGGAAATGTGACGTTCGCAGTTCATTCTAATTTTTTTCTTAACTTTGCAGTTCTTAAATTTTTTCATCACGATAGAAAGTTATTCTGAACATCTCAAGTACTTAAAACTTTAAATGCCTTTAAATATATACGAGGGCGGTTCAATAAGTACCCGTGTTTGAAGACAGAGGACGTCCCTGAGGGAAATTGGTGTTGTCATCGTGTTCTGCCATCTATCAAACCACGCCAAAACGAATTTCAGACTGATTGATAGGTTAGTTTGGATTTGGCAGCCATNATATATATATATATGTATATGTAAACCAGGAATCGCTAGTAGGTACGACTTTGATTGTTTTACAGGCTTTTCAGATTACTACTGTAAAGTTGCACTTTTTCAATTTTGTTTTTAACGATAAGCAAGTAAATACAATTTAAAATCTCTTGTTTTAAGGGGTTCCGTTGGCTATTAGCAACCTTTACAGTTTTGGATTGCCTGCCGATGTGTCATTCTCTCGTTCATTTATCAGTTACGATAAAATTTAGTCTACTTGTGACCCACAAACAGAAGCGACGATTTTTAAATACATTTTTTTTCAAACATCCCATAGAGTGAACTAATCTTTTTTTTTTCATTTGGTTTCCTAAAATGCAACAAAAAATGTTTAGAACCTTTTGATTTCGAACTACGAAATATTTCTATTAAAATTTATATAAGAAAAGGATTCTAAATTTATTACGATCACTTTAGCGAAATAGTTTATAAAATAATATATAAATCCTTTGTACATGTATAAGTACGTTTAATACCTCTCCCATTTCTAGACAGTTGTGTCTATAATTTTGAAAAATGTATTTGGCAGTTTTGATTTCAATTAAAACTACTTTGATTATGCTGCATTCGTTTTTGAGTAAATACGTTGAAACAGTAACTGCCTTTTTTATGATAAAATAGACGAAATCTATTTAGTACCTAATGCTTATTACGTCAAAACTAATCAGTAGTTTTAACGTTTAATAGTAACCATTGCTTCTGCCGGTGACTTTGTCTTCGTGAAACTATTTGTAGTTGGGTTTAATAAATACAATTGTTTCAATCAATAAATCATTTAAAAAATATGAGTCTAAAACCCTCCTGACAAAATTCCCTTTATGTCTGTAACTACGTTCTATCACAATCGAGTTAGCCGTTGCAAAAAATTACTACGTAGAGGAAGACAGGCAGATATCCAGGCAGAAAGGATCGATAAAAGGGGATTAGATCACTCCTGGAAATCTTCTCTTCAAGTATGTATGTTCGTCGTTTTGAAGATTGACTCATACAGATAAACAGACGAAGTTTTTTAAGGGTATTCTGTCTCTTAATAGTATAAAATATTAAAAAAGGCTTTGTGTTATAGATCATTAGACAACAAACTTTTTCTGTTTTCTTTTGAAAAAGATTTAACTAAAAACTTTTTTCATTGAAATTGTCTATAGAAAGACATTTAAAAGATTTGAAATTATCATCATCATCATAAGGTCGTCAATCTTAAGACTGACTGAACATGCACCTCCATTCATTCCTACCCTGAGCTAATCTTCATTCCCTAAAACTAGAACAACCCACATCCCTAACTATTTGAAATTATATTTCATTAAAATTTGGTAGGTAATTAATTGCATGTTTATGAAAGCCCCAGCGGATTACTTCACGAACTGTGAACTAGATCTTTCACAAGTTCAAGGACACTGAATGCGGCATTGTTGATATTGTTAATACAAAAGTACAGTACGCTTACATTCAAATAATTATGCATAACTTTTTTACTAAATGTACGACATAATAACTCTAATTAGTTTTTCTTTATGAAAATAATAATAATACTTACTTTATGACTTCAGAAAAGTCAATTAAAATATACAACACAATTACAAAAAAATCCCTCTTGTCGTAATTAAATGAAACCAAATCTAGATAGTGCAAAAGGAAATATTTGCAACTAAGAAAATTTTACTCCGAAATGTGAGTAGGTAATTGTTCCCTTTTTAGTACAATTAGAGGCAATAATTCTGCTGATTACATTAAAAAAATTAATCATATCGAGCTATGTTCTTAAGTTATCGGATAAATATATATTAACATAACATTAAGAATAATTTTAGTTTTAATTCTTCTAATTATAAAACAAAAAAAATAATAAAACGGTTTTAATGCATTCAGTAAAAGTTACATACCTGGCTATGAATGAATTCATGATAGAAGAAGTGTGCCTTGGTTTCGTCATTCAGCTACGCATGGGCAGTTGCGATTTCTTCTTTTCGTGCTTCTTTATTCGAAAACAAAGCACCCGCGAAACAGAGTTTAAAAAGCGCCGTCTACCGAAAATGATAAAATTATAATAGGTAGTTACTAATAATTATAAAAATGAATTCACTTGCAACGCACGCAATAATAGCAGAAAAGGTGTATACGGGGATGTATTACGCGAGCGGAAAAATTAGGAAATAACCGCGAAGTGTTTTCCAACAGCCAACGTTCTAACAGAGAGAGAGTAAAATTTGTTGTTGATGCAAGTCCCACTTCTTTGCGCTACCACCTAGACTAGAGTTAGATGGTAAACTGAGCGTGTGACACTGAGAAGTTCTTGCAGAAGAAGTTCGCGAACCGCGAAGGTTGAGATCTTACTGAGGTGTTACGCGAAATCTCCTTCAAGTATACTGATTCTCTAAATTACTGTGTTATACATAACCACGATCCCCACTTCGTCCTACATCTAAACAATGATTCGCTCTTTTAATGTTATTGTACTTGGTATTGATTACTTATTGGTGATTGTAGATGATCTAGCAGGGGAGGCAGAAGATCTTAAAAACCAAGTAGATTTACTTTTGCATTACTCTAGAGGTTTAGATAACTTCCGAGCTTTATATCAGTAAGAGCTTTAGATTATTCCCGGGCTGTATAACTCTCGAGCTTTGATAGAGTAAGACATTCGTTAATTATTATATTATTAGCCTATTTAATTAATTATCGAAAAAAAGAAAAATAAGAAAATAACTCATTAAGATTATACCTACATCGAAGGCGCGATCAACATCATTAAAGACAGTACAACTGTAGGGATAGATATACAGAGACAAAAGATTAGTATGCTTACATTTGCAGATAATATAGCAGTATTACCATCTAGCAAGGAGGATTAGAGATAGCTTTAAATAAAATGGAAGCGGTACTGACAAAACAGTACCGTATGAAAATAAATAAAAGTAAAACAAAAATACTGGTATGTAAGGGAAGAATAAGTAGGGAAAGAACGAATATAAAGATAGGACACGAAAGATTAGATGAAGTGGTTGATTTTAGGTATCTAGGAAGTCAGATAAAGCAGCATGGAAGGAGCAGTAGGGATATAAAACAGAGGATAGGGCAGGGTGGAGTCGCTTTCAATAAAAATAAGTCACTTTTATGCCCGCGAACGGTTAATTTAGAAAACCGAAAAAGGTTGTTAAAGGTATATGTTTGGAGTGCGACGCTGTAAGGGTGTAAAACATGGACAGTGGGCGCGGCGGAAAAGAAAAGGTTAGAAGCGTTCGAGATGTGGTGTTATACGCGAAAGATGAAGATACCGTGAATAGAGAAGGTTAGAAATCAAGAGGTATTAGAAGGAATGGGAGAACAGAGGACTCTATGGAAGTCAAAAATAAATAGACGAGGTAGGCTATTAGGACACCTTCTCAGGCATGAAAGTCTAGTCAGAGAGGCAGAAACAGAAGTTAAGAGGAGAAGAGGTAGACCTAGATTAGATTACTGTTCGCAAATAGTTAAGGATATGGGTTGTTCTAGTTTTAGGGAAATGCGAAGATTAGCTCAGAATAGGAAAAAGTGGAGCTGCGTTTTCACAATTCATATAGAAAATCTGCCCAAATAATCCCTGGTAATACTATCTTATTAACTATGCTTCATCAAGATTATCCACTTAACGGAAAATTGATTTGATATGTTATTTGCCAAAATAAACAACTTCCAAATCACTACGAACTTTCTTTTAATATGAGATGTTTCGAAAAGAGACACATATTGTACATTCGTCAAATGGGTCAACTTCACTAATGATGAGACATGCCTCGCCGTAACCAGCCTACTTTGTTGAGTATAACCCTTTTATACTTTTTTATATGTTGAATTTTTTTTAGATACAGCAATAACCATAAACAAACAATAATAAAAAACGATCACTGCTTGCTTTGATCATATACCCCATAAAGGAAACCTCATTTCTAGATTTCAAAGTAGGTATTACACCCACAGTTTAATTCATTAATACCAATTCAGTCTGGTTGAAATCAAAAGTATTAGAAAGAAGGGTTCATGGTTACCTATTATGTCTTTACGAAAGAATTTTTGGAAATTCGATCTAAGAGGCTATTGAGCTTTTTAAAATTCTTTATTGAAACCAGCATCTAAACTTTTTTAAATGTTTAAGAATTTTTCAGAATTCAATTGCAATGGGAGTAAAGTGGCGCTTCAAAGTTTGTATCATCATCATCATAAGGTCATCAGTCCTAAGACTGGTTGGACACGTACCTCCACTCTTTCCTATCCTGAGCTAAACTTCGCATTTCCGTAATATTTATATATATTTCGATTAAAACTAATAAATTTGACAAAAAGTCAATTCTTATTCTAGTTTGTATCATCATCATCATAAGGTCACGCGCCTCCACTTTTTCCTATCCTGAGCTAATCTTCGTATTTCCTTAAGTCTAAAACATCCCACATCCTTAACTATTTGCGAACAATAATCCAATCTTGGTCTACCTCTACTCCTCTTAACTCCTGTTTCTGCTTCTAATATGTCTTTAACTAGCCCTTTTTACCTGAGAAGATGTCTTACCAATTTATCTCGCCTATTTCTCTTTGAGAGGCCTCTGTTCACCTGTTCTTCCTTATATCTCTTCATTTATAATATTCTCTATCCACGGTATCCTTATCATTCGCCTGTAAGACCACATTTCGAACGCTTCTAACCTTTTCTTTTCCGCCGCTCCCACTGTCCATGTTTCGCACCAGTACATTGCCGCGCTCTAAACACATATGTAACAATCCTTTTAGAATTTCAAAATTAACCTGTCGCGAACACAAGTAACTTCCTTTTGTTGGAGGCTTCTCGGCCCTGCGCCATCCTATATATCTACATTTCTTCTTCTAGGTATCCTGAGTTATCTCACTTCCTAGATACTGAAACTAAGACACTTCTTCTAATTTTTCGTCTCCTATCTTTATATCCAATAGTTCCCTGCTTTTTCTTCCCTTGCGTACCAGTATTTTTGTTTTACTTCTATTTATTTTCATACAATACTGTTTAGTCAATACCACTTCCATTTTGTTCCTGCTTGCTAGATGTTAATACTGCTATATCATCTGCAAATCTAATCATACTAATACGAGGGTGGATTGATAAGTTTCCGGCCTGACCAAGAAAAACAAGGTTTTTAAAAATTTTTTTTTTTTATTTCTCAACATAATCTCCTCCAAGGCTGATACATTNCCTGTTTCTGCCTCTAATATGTCTCTGACTAGACCTTCATGCCTAAGAAGGTGTCCTACCAACCTATCTCGCCTATTTTTTATTGACTTCCACAGAGTCCTCTGTTCTCCTATTCTTTCTAATACCTCTTCATTTCTAACCTTTTCTACCCACGACATCCTCATCATCCGCCTATAACACCACATTTCGAACGCTTCTAACCTTTTCTTTTCCCCCGCTCCCACTGTCCATGTTTTTAAAGTGTTTTTTCGTGTGAATAATTAAAATTATCTCAACGGATGTACTGCTGTACTGTAAATAACTCGAAGGACCACCAAGTATAGTGAATAAAAATGATGTTACTATAACTATTTATTAAAAAACTGTAAACTTTTGGATGTTTCATTCCCACCAGCCACTAATGCTGGTGAGCAGGCAGTTCCTCTGGACTACGCCTCTTCTTCAGCCTCCTTTCAGGAATCGTGGGAATGGGTGGGTGGTGGTTCGGATGAGAAAGGTGAGAGACAGACGAGATGAAGACAGAAGAGAATGATGAAAGTTTATCTATGGAATATTACTGTCCCAGCATTTGCTTAAGTGATCCAAGGAAACCACAGAAAAATTTGGATCAAGCTAGACGAACCCGTAATCAAACCGGCATCCTCCCGAATGTTAAGCAATGGTCTAAACCTTTAATTAACTTTGATATCTCCTACGAAATGGGAGGAAACATGAAATTTCATATACAATTATGTACAACCAGATGTGTACTAAGATAAAATATATATCTATGTGCTGTGTACACAATAACCCTAGAAATGTTAACTGTAACAATTTACCTGAAGGGTACAAAGGTAACAATCAACTTGTTGCTATTTTATACAATTATAACACAGTGAATTCCCAATATTGGGGTTTTGCTAAATTAATAACCTACAACTACGGTACTACACGCGAACACAAATCTAACTATAACTATTACCCACTAATATCTGAATATATTATAATATTTACAGTTTACAGGGAATTTCGGCAATAGTCTTTCTTTTAGGTCGAAACAAAGAGCAAAGAATAGGTAGAAATTTTGACAAAGGTACTGTTTGGTTCGTCGCAATATACAAAATAAAGACAAACGAAACGACGGACTCTACGCATCTAATTGCATGACCAACAAATATACTGAAAAGAAAGTTATGCAAAAAAACAAATATGTAGTTGCACCTTACAGCTTAATAATAATTTTCAATATATAAAACATAAAGGCAAAAGCATTTTCAATATTTAAAAAAACGAATAAGGAAAGTTTCGATTTAAAACCAATTTATATGGGTGCTACACTTGCTTCATCGAAATATCATTATCAGTCTAAAAAATTCAGATGATCAACTCGTTTCACACACGGTGTATGTTTATTTCTAATTTCACGAAAAAGATCTGTCCGTGTATACCGGTGTACATACTGTTGGGAACAGAAGTGATGACGCTTTTTAAGGTCAAATTATACCTACTTATAATAATCATCATAAAGTCGTCAGTCCGAAGAGTGGTTGGACACGCACCTCCAGTCCTTCCTATTCTGAGCTAAACTTCGCATTTCCACAATCCACATCCTTAACCAATCCAATCAAGGTCTACCTCTACTCTTCTTAACTCCTGTTTCTGCCTCCAATATGTCTCTGACTAGTCCTTCATGCCTGGGAAGGTGTACTACTAACCTATTTCGCCTACTTTTATTAACTTCCATAGAGCCCCCCGTTCGCTTATTCTTTCTAACACCTCTTCATTTCTAACCTTCTCTATCCACGGTATTCTCATTTTTCGCCTGTAACACCACATTTCGAACGCTTTTAACCTTTTCTTTTCCGCCTAGCCACACTGTCCATGTTTCGCACCCGTACGGTGCCGTGCTCCAAAAATACACCTGTAACAACCTTTTTCGAATTTCTAAATTAACCGTTCGCGAGCATAAAAGTGACTTCTTTTTATTGAAGGCGACTCGACCCTGCGTTATCCTCTGCTTTATATCCCCACTACTCCTTCCGTCCTGACTTATCTGACTTCCTAGATACCTAAAATCAGCCACTTCTTCTAATATTTCGCCTCCTATCTTTATATTCGCTCTTTCCCTACTTTCTCTTCCCTTGCATACCAG